TCATGTTATCCAGGAGTTCGCTGTGAGGAGAGTGGGGGCACAGTTAGTTGTGGTCCTTGTCCTACAGGCATGACTGGAGATGGCAGACACTGCACGAAGGTAGAGCCGACATCTTGCCAACCAAATCCCTGTTATCCAGGAATACAGTGTCAGGAGTACAGAGACACTGTTAGATGTGGTCCTTGTCCTACAGGCATGACTGGAGATGGCAGCCACTGCACGAAGGTAGAGCCGACGTCTTGCCAACCAAATCCCTGTTATCCAGGAATACAGTGTCAGGAGTACAGAGACACGGTTAGATGTGGTCCCTGTCCAACCGGGATGACAGGAGATGGATTCCATTGTTCCAGAATACGTCAGGCACCGTGCCAACCGAATTCCTGTTACCCAGGCGTGCAATGTGTGGAGGATAACGATTTGGCCAGTTGCGGTCCATGCCCAGTAGGCATGACTGGAGATGGAACGCACTGCACAAAAATTGAGCCGACGTCTTGCCAACCAAATCCCTGTTATCCAGGAATACAGTGTCAGGAATACAGAGGTACTGTCAGATGTGGTCCGTGTCCAACAGGGATGACGGGTGATGGATTCCACTGCACCCAACTCCTTACAAGGACATGCGAGCCAAATCCTTGCTACATGGGGGTGCAGTGTGAGATGCATCGCGGCACGACCCGGTGCGGACCTTGCCCCGAACAGATGACAGGAGACGGATTGCATTGCACATGGGCTGGACCCCATCCCTGTGATCCGAACCCTTGCCACATAGGCGTGGACTGTGCAGTTAAAGGAGGAACCTATAGTTGTGGCCTGTGCCCAGAAGGGATGGTTGGTGATGGTGTATATTGTATGAGGACGTCCCCATGCAATCCAAGTCCTTGCTTCCCGGGAGTAGTGTGCCAAGTGAGAGGGGATAGCTTCTACTGTGGGCCATGCCCCAGAGGAATGAGTGGTGATGGAATCAGTTGCTCCAATGCCTCCCCATGTAATCCAAGCCCCTGCTTTCCCGGAGTAATGTGTCAAGCGAGAGGGGAAACCCACCAGTGTGGGCCATGCCCTGATGGAATGGTTGGGGATGGTGTTAACTGCAAGAACTCACCTTGCGACCCTAACCCATGCTTCTCTGGGGTAGAGTGTCAGGAGAGAGGGCATGAATACCGCTGTGGCCCATGTCCTGGAGGATATACTGGTGATGGCAGACATTGTGAGCAGTTGATCCGGCGACATGGTTGCCAGTCCTCACCATGCTACGAAGGTACTACGATGCCAACAACTATTCTCAATATTGCTAACATAATTATTCCTCGTCATATGTTGTTCATAATTATATGTAACATAGTATAATAGCATGTAGTATCAAGAGTCCATAATAGAAAATTCTCTAATATGAACTCTTGATGGTATAGTATAATAATAGTAACGTCGGGAAACTTTCTGCTGTGATGGAATTTGAAAAGCAGTATTTCTGTTCAGCAGTAACTGAACATTTGTAATTTCATAGGACAAATTAAAACATATTCTGAGATACATATTATCGTACAGCACAATAAATATTGTTGCACAACCAGAATGATGAAAAACCGAGAGTTCCTACTCACTACACCTACTCACACTCCATGAAACCGAGTAGGCATTAATTCTTTGTAGGGGTGAGATGCTACGACACTGAGACTGGTTATCAGTGCGGTCCATGCCCCAGCGGTATGACGGGTGATGGTGCACACTGCACGCTGCTTGTGCTCGGCATCTCGCCCTGCAATCCTAATCCATGCTTTGCGGGAGTTGCATGCTCTGAGAGGGAGGAGGGTTTCCAATGCGGTGCATGCCCCGAAGGGTTTACGGGCGACGGAGCAGTCTGTACGGACCTAGACGAGGTAAGGTATCGGGGGGGGGGGGGGGGTGATCCTTGCCAGTAGACGTGTATGCTGCGAAGTTGTGATAAACAGATTCTTGCATGCCTGCAGCATTTTGAAGGGGAGAGTGATAGCAGAGAGAGAGAGAGAGAGAGCGAGAGAGAGAGAGAGAGAGAGAGAGAGAGAGAGAGAGAGAGAGAGAGAGAGAGAAGTTAGAAATGTTCTAATTTATTCTGGTAATATCTTTTAGTATCGATGCACCTCTACAGCGTAAATAAAACGGAGGTATTTCACGTCTATTCTGATGCCATACGACCCAGCAAGACCTACGAGCATCTCATGATAGAACTGCTAGAGATGCAGGCGTCGCCCGCCATCATGCGGCTGTACATTAACTGCCACCTGGTGGCAGAAAAGTGGATACAGAACCCAGGTCACATGCTTTTTCCAGAGCCACTGGCGTGGGTGAGTGATGGATATTATGCCATCAGTCTTCCTTGCACACCTAACCTCACACGTGCGACCCCTCACACTTAATTTCTGCAAACCTAATTGCTAGCCGTTGTCATCCCCTAACTTCCTGGTGAGATTGTGTCAATATTTGTTTTCTGTAGGTCACTGGCACTGACGTAGAGCAGCTAGAGATTCAACCCAATGCAGATGCTATGGCCATATTGGAATCAGAAGAATGCTCTTCTGTGAAAATTATTGAAGATGCCTTACAGGACGACCCATTCAACGTGATCAGTGCTTCATGTGACCTTAGTGAGTTACACATAGATAGTTGTAGGCACCAACAAACCCAATCAACAAATAGTCAATGACGGTTTGCGCAGGCAGTAGACAGTGAGTTTATACTCTTCAAAATTGTTGCGGCTATAATCACTGCAGATGGTAGGTATTATAGAGCCCTGTGATAAACAAAAAGGATTCATTGTACCGGTACCATAATTTATCTGTTTGTTTTCAGTTGCATTAAACTATGCTCTAACTGCTGCCATTAAGGAAATGACCTCGTCAATCTATTCACTGAAGGCTGATGTTAGGAACGAGGTAAGGCCATAATAAATATATTGTTTGTTTACCCTCACCCGACCGGCCCACCAAAAAGGAGCCGACTCAAAAATGTTATTGATCTTTCTCATTCTTTTTTTTTACAAATTGTATCACTGTACATTATATAAATCTGTAGGCAATACATTATATGTACCAAGCAAAACAAACATCAACATAAAAGGTATCTCCACACAAGCACACCCGAGCATGTAGACACCATGCTGAATTTGTAAAAAGACCCCCTTCAAAAAAAGCCTACCTACGCTACATGTGTCATATGTATGTCTATATATTATCTCTGCCACATTACAGTACAATCAGCAAGGTTTTGCGGTCTACAATGTTGTATGCTACAAAATAATTGCCAATGTTATGCGTTAGTTCCCGTCTCTACTGTTTTTATGCTTTGACTACGTTTGTAACTTGCATTTACTCAATGTTGTATAAATGCTCTTTAGTTTTTAGAGTTCTCTTAGTTCGTTTAGACTTGTTTAATCAGACGTATATTCGTTAATCTAATCTATAGTTTGTTCAAGAGTACAACATAAGTTGTCAGTATGTTTCAGATCAATGGCCTCAAAGATTTGAAGTCAACACTTGAAAACTGTAAAATGTGCAAATCAGGTAGGAAAATCTGTCATTTAATTGCAAACAAATTAGCTCCTCAATGCTAATTAAAATACATAAATTCACATAAATTTTCATTTATTATAAGCAATCTCACTTAACATGAGGTTGGAATGCCTGAAGAATTACTTGGCTAACATTTGGCATGTCATCACCCTTTCACTTGACTGCAGGTTGTTGTAATTTTATAATTTCCTATTGATATTAACAATATTATCTTGGTGGGTTCATCAAGATCGAAGAGCTCATAAATAATAAGAACAGGTTATTAGAGAGAACAGTGTAGACTAGAATCACTTCGGCAATGCTCTCGATAGCTATTTCACTAACCACCCCTTCTTCCCACAGATTCACTACCTCCATCTAGCTTGATCACTGGATGTACGGATGAGTCGTGCTTTGCCGGCGTGCCCTGCTCGCTGACACAGATGGGCCCGCGCTGCGGACAGTGTCCAGCTGGAATGACCGGAGATGGCGTCCGATGCCGGATGCTGTCCTGTGGAGAGAACCGCTGCTACCCGGGAGTCTGGTGTGGTGACCACGATGGTCCACAGCTCTGCGGGGCGTGTCCAGCGGGAATGACCGGAGATGGATTCCATTGTTCCAGAATACGTCAGGCACCGTGCCAACCGAATTCCTGTTACCCAGGCGTGCAATGTGTGGAGGATGGCGATATGGCCAGTTGCGGTCCATGCCCAGTAGGCATGACTGGAGATGGAACGCACTGCACAAAGATTGAGCCTACATCTTGCCAACCAAATCCCTGTTATCCGGGCCTACAGTGTCAGGAATACAGAGGTACTGTTAGATGTGGTCCATGTTCCACGGGAATGACAGGAGATGGATTCCACTGCTCTGGAATACAACCAGCTCCTTGTAATAGGAATTCATGTTATCCAGGAGTTCGCTGTGAGGAGAGTGGGGGCACAGTTAGTTGTGGTCCTTGTCCTACAGGCATGACTGGAGATGGCAGACACTGCACGGAAGCTAGAAGGCGCTGACAGTCTTGTCCAACAGCTCCTGTTATTCCAGGAATTACGCTGTGCGCGAGTACAGGGTCACTGTTAGAGTGTACCCTGTCCAACCGGGTATGACAGGAGATGGTGATATCCATTGTTCCATGAATCGTTCAGCATCGTTGCAGAAATAAAGAAAACCGAATTCCTGTTACCATGGCGTGCAATGTGTGGAGGACTTGCGCATATGGCAGTTGCACGTCCATGCCGAGTAGGCATGATGGATATGGAGCACTGGGCACTCAAAGATTGAGCATACATCTTGTTGCAACCAAATCCCTGTTATCAGGAATACAGTGTCAGGAATACAGCAGACACGGTTAGATGTGGTCCCCTGTCAACCGGGGCGCTCGGAGGATGGATTCCATTGTTCCAGATAAATCAGGCACCGTGCCAGTACGAAATTCCGGGTTACGCCCAGGCGTGGAATGGCTGTGGAGGGATGGCGATTTATGGCCAGTTGCAGTCCATGCCCAGTAGGCATGACGGAGATGAACGGCACTGCCCAAAGATTGAGCTACATCTTGCCCAACAAATCCCTGTATCCGGGCTACAGTGTCAGGAATACAGAGTACTGTTAGATGTGTTCCATATGTTCCACGGGAGTGGACAGGAGACGTGATTCCACTGCTCTGGATACAACCAGCCTCATTGTAAATAGGAATTCATTGTATCACAGGAGTTCTCCTGTGAGGAGAGTGGGCGCCGACGAGTTAAAGTTGGTCCTCTTGTCGCTACAGTGCTCGATGTAACTGCGGTAGTTTTGGCAGACACTGCACGAAGCTAGCAGCGAGCATGCTTGCCCAACAAGACATGCATGTTATCACGCACTACAGGTTGTCAGGAGTTCAGGAGAGCTAGATGTGGTCCCTGTACGCAACGGAATGACAGGCGATGGATTCATTGGTCCAGGAATACGTCAGGCAACGCGCTGCCAACCGGTCAATTCCTTTAGCCCAGGGCTGCAATTGTCGTGGAGGATTGGCGATATAGGCCATTGCTTGCAGGTCCAGTCGCCCCATGTAGGCATGACTTGGAGATGGAACGCACTGACACAAAGAATTAAGAAGCTCCTCTCTGCCCAACCAAAATTCCCTGTTTATCCAGGTAATACAGTGTCAGAGGTAAAGCTAGGCAGCGACACGGTTAGATGGGTCCCCTGTCCAACCGCGGATGGACAGGTGAGATCGGATTCCATTGTTCCAAGAATACATCAGGCAACCGATGCCAACCCGGATTCCTGTTTAGCATGTGGCGCTTGGCTTAATGGTGGTGGGAGGAATGCGTATATGCCAGTTGGCCAGTCCATCGCCAGTGATAGGCATGACTGGAGATGGAACGCACTGCACTAAAGATTGCCAGGCTACATCATGTGCCTACCAGACTCTGTTATCTCGAGGTGCCTTACAGTGTCAGGATACCAGAGGTACTGTTATACGATGTGTCATGCTTCCACGGGAATGACAGGAGATTGGATAGTAGCCTCTCCCTGCTCGGAACTCACCAGTCTTGTATAGGAATTCATGTTATCAGAGCGGTTCGCTGTGAGCTGAGAGGCTGGGGCCACAGTTAGTTGTAGGGTTACCGCTGTCCTCAGGCTATGACTGGAGATGGCAGACAGCTGCCACGAACGGTAGAGCGAGCATCTTGTGTCCAGAGCCACCAATCCCCTGTTAATCCAGGATAACAGATGGTCAGTGCAAGACGAGGAACAACGTTAGATGTGGTCCCTGTCAACGGATGACAGGAGATGGATCTCCATGTGTTCCAGAATACGTCAGCACCGTTGCAACCGGAATTCCTGTTGACCCGAGTTGCGTGCACAATGTGTGGAGGATGGCATATGGCAGTTAGCGGGTCATGCCCAGTAGGCAATGGACTGGAGGATGACGAACGCACTGCCAACAGTAGGTATGTGAGCGACGCTTGCCCAACCAGAACGTCCCTGTATAGATCCCAGGGAATACGCTGTTCAGGAGTACAGAGACACGTGTTAGATGTTGGTCCCTGATCCAAACCGGATGACAGGAGATTGGATGTTCCTATTGTTCTCAGAATAATTTCAGGCACCGTGGTGCCAAACGGACTTCCTTTAGCACGCGCGTGCAGATGTGGTGGAGGCTCGCGATATGGCAGTTGCAGTGTCCATTGCCCAGATAGGCATGACTGGGATGGAACGCACTGCACAAAGATTGAGCTTACATCTTGCCCAACCAATTCCACTGTTGCTCGATTCAGTGTCAGGAATACAGAGTACTGTTAGATGTGGTCCATTGTCCACGTGGAATGACAGGAGGGACGGCATGCACTCGCTGGAATACAACAAAGGTCCTTGTAATAAGAACATTCATGTTATCCAGGAAGTTCGCTGTGGGAGAGTTTGGGGGCCCACGTTAGTTGTGCGTCCTTGTCTACAAGGCCATGATGGAGATGTGGCAGCCACTAGCACGAGGTAGATTTGTGTGTGTGCTCAGAATCCCTGTTATCATGGATACGCAGTGTCAGGAGTACAGAGTACACTGTTAGATGTTGGTCCGCTTCTCCACCGGGAGTGGACAGGGAGATGGATTCCATTGTTCACAGGAGACATACGGTCTCCACGCGCTGCCAACCGAAGTCCGTTACCCAGGCCGTGTGCCTAAATAGGTCAGGTTCAGGATTAACGATGTTGGGCCAGTTGCGGTCATGCCCAGTAGGCGTATGACTGGAGATGGCAACGCACTGCACAAAAGATGAGCCGACGTTGCCAACCAATCCCTGTTATCCAGAATAACGAGTTTGTTCAGGGTAGTGGCGTATCGTCAGATGGTGGCGTGCCGTGTCCAACAGGGATGACGGGTAGATTGGATTTCACTGCACTCGCAACTTCCTTACAAGGACATGCGAGCACAATCCTTGCCTACATGGGGGTTGCAGTGTGAGATAGTGCAGCTCGACGGCACGACCTGCGTGCGGACCTTGCCCGGAACAGAATGGACAGTGAGACGGATTGTTGCACATGCGGCTGCGACCAAATCCTGTTGATCCGAACGCCTTCACGTAGGCGTGGACTGTGCCAGTTAAAGGAGGAACCTATAGTTGTGGCCCTGTGCCCAGAAGGGATGGTGTCGTGGTGAATTGGTGTATGATTGGGCCTCATGCAGGACGTCCCCATAGACAATGCCAAGTTCCTTGCTTCGCGGAGTAAGATGTGTGTGCCCAGCGTGAGGGGTATAGCTTCTACTGTGCGGCCATGACCAGAGGAATGTGTGAGTGGCTAGATGGATCAGTTGCTCCAATGCACCGTCTCACCGATTATCAGCCCTGCTTTCCCGGTGGGTAAACGTGTCAGCAGTAGGGGAAACCCACCAGTGTGGCGCCATGCCCTGATGGCATGGTTGGGATGGTGCTTAACTGCAAGAACTCACTTGCGACCTACCATGTTCTCTGGGGTAGAGTGTCAGGAGAGACGCATGAATACCGCTGCCTGTCCCATTGTCCTGTGAGGAATATACTGGTGTGATGGCAGACATTGTTGCAGCAGTTGATCCGGCCGACATGGCTTGCCAGTCCTCACCATAAGCTACGAAGGTACTACATGACAACAACTATTCATCAATATTCGCTAACATAATTATTCCGTTTCGTCATATGTTGTCATAATTATATGTAACATAGTAGAATGAGCTGGGTAAGTATCAAGAGTCCATAATAGAAATGTCTCTAATATGAACTCGTGATGGATACTTGAGCTCTAGAAGTTTTTAATAGTAACGTCGGGAAACTTTCTGCTGTTTGATGGAAGTTTGAAAGCAGTATTTCCTGTCAGGAGTAAACGGAACATTTGTAATTTGCATAGGACAAATTAAAACATATTCGACAGTTCACATCATTATCGTACAGCACATAAATATTGTTGCGCACAACCAGAAATGATTGAAAAAACCGAGAGTATCCTACTCACTCACCTACTCACACTCATGAAACGAGTAGGCATTAATTCTTTGTTTTGAGCTAGGCTGAGATGCTTCACGACACCATTGGTAGATGAGTTATCAGTGCGGTCCATGCCCAGGCCCAGCGCCAGCTATGACGGGGTGAGATGAGTGCACCACTGGCACATGCTAGGTCTTGCATGTGTGCTCGCATCTCGCCCTGCAATCCTAAGGTCTCCACGCTTTAGCGGGAGTTGGCTAGCTCTGAGGTGCGCGGAGGCAGGGTTCCAAATGCGGTCAATGTCGTCGAAAGTGGTTAGCCGGCGACGGAGCAGTCTGTACGAGACCTAGACGAGGGTTAGTGTGAGTCGGGCGGGGGGGTGGGGCTGATCCTTCGGGCAGTGAGTACTGTCATGCTGCGAGTTCCCGTGATAAAACAGATTCTGGACATGCCTGCCCAGATTTTGAAGGCGAAGAGTGATAGCAGAGAGAGAGAGAGAGAGGTGTAGCGAGAGAGAGAGAGAGACGATGATTGGTGAGGCAGAGAGCCGAAGCGGATGGTGAGAGAGAGAGACGGAGACGGAGACGGAGACGGAGAGGGGGAGGGGGGACAGAGACAGACCGAGAGAACGAGAGAGAGAAAACGAGGGGAGGAGACAGAGACAGAGAAAAAATGAATAAAACAGTTCGGCATATAGAAGAATTTGCCTGTTTGAATGCTTCCTTGAATCCTCGAATACATTGTTGCTTGTGTCCTGTTCCAGTGTCGCTATGGTCGCCCCTGTGATCAGCTTTCTCAGTGCATCAACACTGTACCTGGATTCCACTGCAGTCCTTGCCCTCCTGGTTACCAGGGCAACACCGTGCGCGGAGTTGGTATCCAGGCAGCAAGGCTTAATCGCCAGGTGGGCTCAGCTTTGCTAGAATATTTATCCATGAAATTAATTGCCTGTTGTCAACCGTCGTTCCAAGGAGTTATGGCGCCCTCTCTTTGTCATAGTCCAACTGTGTATGCAGTAAAACGTTGCAATCTATCATAATTAACAGTTACAATATTATCCTTTATCTAACTGAGAGCCAAATGTAGATAAATGTGTGCATAATTATTTGTGGTGCACTGCATGCATGGGGTTGATTTTGATCAGGATTTGTGAACATCTGTTATCGTTACAGTTTGGTGTAACGAATAATCGACAAATTTAAACAGAACCAGAGCGTCTGTTACACCAAATCACCCAAGTTTTGCGTCATTAGCTCACTCACCACTGAAAAATTAATTAATGTCACTACCAAACTAATTTAATATTTAATTTAATTTGTCCCCACGCCATTTCTGAAAGACGTCTCACTTGTCACTAGTTGCATGGAGCGATACATTGTGAGTTTAACTGTACTGGCATGTACTTATGTATAGATTACTTACAGAAATGTCTTGACATCAATGAATGTGAGGGAATGTCACAAGAGGGCGTTGGGTGTGTTCCAAGCTCAGCGTGCATCAACACTGAGGTTAGTGCAATAAAAACAGCCTACATATACTACTGCATATAGCACCTTACTTTCGTACCATAATTTGTTATATTAACTTAGCCTATACTAGTTCATTCAGTAGTTAATGCCATATGTATAGGTGTAGTGTTTCGAAGTTTTTCTTGAATGTTTTTTCCACACTTTCATCCTATCATGTGGGTTTTCTATTTCGGCAGGGCTCGTACCGTTGTGGAGACTGCGTGGATGGGTACTCTGGTAACCAGACGTACGGCTGCCACCAGACAGAGCTAGTGACATGTCCAGACAGCGTGACCGTGTGTGGGATGAATGCACGCTGCTATCAGGTGGTGGTTGGGACCAGCCAGTACACGTGCGAGGTACGGCTATGTCGAAACTCCTTGACGAAATGCCAGTGTGCACACGTGTTTGAATGTTGAAATTATCTAGTGAAATGAAATAATGAAATATGTAATGTGAAATAAGCAAAAAATAAGCATACTGTCTAGTCATATACTGAGCCAATCTAAGTCTTCAGAGAGTGTATACGATTGTCAAGTTCACATGCTTGTGTGGCTGTGCAGTGCAAGGTCGGGTATGCTGGAAATGGAGTGAAATGTGGCCTCGACACAGATCTGGATGGATACCCGGACGAGGAACAGCCATGCGAGGAACGGAAATGTAGAAAGGTGACACTTTATCGCGATGTCTCTCTCATTTATCTCAGCTGCATGTTTCCCATTATATCATTTTAGCCACACATGCATGAACCACACGCACATGCATACGCACACGCACAGCCACGCACGCACGCACGCACGCACGCACGCACGCATGAACGCACGCATGCACGCACACATGCACGCATATACACGCCCACGTGCACACGGACACACATGATACTCTACATATATTCTCATCTCATGCCCAATCCCAAACTGGGGCAGATGGGGTCGTTGTCGTATCAGGTACTACAGATATGTACCCGAGGTAGTTTTAGGTTGTTTAGTATTATGTTTATATTTTTATATGAGGTATGTTTAGGGTTAGGGTTAGAGTTAGTGTTAGGGTTAGGGTACACTTCTGTAGTACAAGTCTGGTACACTTTGTGTATACATATATGTACCTCGGGTACATATCTGTATAGTACCTGATACGACAACGACCCCTTGAGCCAAACTGGGCCACCTCACCTGTACGTTCCACCAACGCACGTCAGAGCCACGTTTCACGCTGAAACTAATCCTAGGACTATGACGCTTTCTTGTGGCAAAAAACGCATGGAACTGCAGTTATATACGCGTTAGAAACACCTGGACACGTCTGCGTTTTAATAACATAGAAAAACCTAATTGCACGTAGTAATCGCAACACGATTGTAATCGGCTATCTGAGCAGGAGAAAACCAAGCAGTTGCAACTCTCCAGAGAAGTAATTCTGACGATCAAACAAACACCCATCAAATCTAAATTTTCCACACATCCAGCTATCTCACGTGCAGTTTCTCAATACTATTCCCCAATCTCACTCATTACTCTATATTTATCCAACGCCCCATCAAGTGTCTACGTCGTATGTGTATTAATTTGTTGCTCCCATGCAGCTACCCATGACGGCTTTCGGCATGCCTGTTATGATCGTCAGTGTCCGTTTCAGGACAACTGCCCACGTATCGCCAACAGCGGTCAGGAGAATGTGGACGGCGACGACATGGGCGACGCCTGTGATCCAGACATGGACGATGATGGCATCCTTAACACCCCGGTAAGGAGCGCCACCTACATGTGTGAGAATTCATCATAGAATTTGTTGCCACATTATTTCTGAAAAAAAAACGTGGGGAACATCCGACTCTATCCCCCTCAATTTGCTCGGCATTCACTGGACCCCTACCAGAATTTCTGTATACCCCTGAGAGATAATACTTGATTTACACTTGTGTGTTTTTACATGTTTTGGGGTGGTACGCTCATGGTACATTGTCACATTTCTTTATTTATGACAGCTTTATAATATGTGTTTAATGTAACGGATAAAGCGCCCACAGACAGTGCATGGCCTACAGACAAACATTGATACATTGTATAATCGGCTACTGGTATACTGGCGGCTATATAGTCTGTTACTGAGGACAGCGACCTATTTTCACCACGCTAGGTGATGCTATGCGATGCTATGGCAGATTTATGTGCCACTATATCAGCGTCGAGCGATAAGCATACAATGTACACGTGTGATGGGAAAGTAGGTTCCCTGCTTTATAGGGGCCGTATAGTGTGCTTAGTTAGTAGATATAGTCAATAGGCTCAGTATGATACAGTCACATGTGTCGATATTCTGTAGAGTCTTCTCGAGATTTTTATAGTTCCATGTAAAACACAATTTCCTAGCGCGAACCCTATATTTCTTAATTCCAAAAACACCAATTTAATTCATTGGTATCTATCTACCCACCTGCCTACCCACCTACCTACCTATCTATTTATCTATCTATCTATCTATCTATCTATCTATCTATCTATCTATCTATCTATCTATCTATCTATCTATCTATCCATCTATCTATCTATCTTTCAATATAAATATATATATTGATAGATTGATATATAGATGCAGTTAATGTCTATGCGATTATGTCTATGGCTATAGAGTATAGACACGGCCAAGTCGTTGTTTACAGACCCGTTACAAACTATGCTATATAGTAGACTATATATATAGTAACTAGTACACTCTGCCATGTGCAGCATTCTTTGTGTTTCCGTTTTAGCCTGCACATTGCAGGTTTGCGCTTTGAGTGTTAATTAAGTTACGCAAAAGTGTATTGCTCCAGGAAGTTGGAACGAGAACAGCCATACACGGATACGAATAATGAAAACGAATAACTCCGCGTCATAAACCAGCCGGGAAGGGTTTAGGTACACCATGTGGAACAAAGTCTACCTGAACTGAGAGAATTTTTTCACAAAATATTAATTATCTTGCGAATTTTGTACCTTCCCACCCTTATAAAAACACATTATACAATTTATGAGAGTTTAGCGATTGTAATAAAATGAATATTATGATAGCTAACAATGCATTAAAATAGAAAACCATCAGACAGTCGTTCTAAGGTTATATTAATAATGACATGATATTATCAACAAATAATGACAATTTGTGTGAGGAATGCTACCCCTGTTGAGAGGGTCTTTGGTAGATGGAATACAAAAACGTGCAATTAGATACCGATTGACAAGTTAAAATGGTTCGTACGTCTTGCAAACACTTAATGCGGGCAATTATGTGTTCCAGGATAACTGCCCCCATGTACCAAACGCGGGTCAGGAAGATTCCGAATTCGAGCCTGACAAACGAGGTGACGTGTGCGACAACTGCCCCCTGGTGCCGAATGCTAGCCAGCAGGACACCGATGGTGATGGGAAGGGAGATGAGTGTGACGAAGATATGGATAACGATGGTGCGAAAAGCTGGGAACATAATTAGTCTTAACATTAACTTTTTATCTTAGACCGGACATCTGTACTCTGCGTATGAGAAACCCGCAACTTTACCATGTTTCTGTCCACGGTCTGTGAGAAAAAGTTAAGACTAATATTAGGACTAATTTTGTTTCTGACAACAGGACCCCTGGCTCCTTTCAGGAAGAATATCACAAAATCACCGTAGCCATTTATTGCATTATGCGTGTACCAATTACCTATAAATTAGTAAAATAAATGTCTAAACTAAGCTTACAATGAGAGACAATGTGAGGCACATATAAAATTAGGGTTATTTGTTGTATTGGGAAATCAACACGTTTAATTCAGCAGTCACACCACGTCACAAGTCAAAGATTTTATGAACCATGTCGTAATTGTTAGCATCTAAGCTGGTGTAGTCTAACCTTTCTGTTGGTGGTATTGGCTAATAGAATACTGTCAATTAATTTAGAGTTTAATTTGCCTCAACTAAGAGTAGCTATGTAAAGCACTTTGTTGTTGAGTGTGGCCTGCAGTTTTATCATCATGCTGTGTCTGATAGGTATACTGAACGAAGTGGACAACTGCCCGTACGTGCCTAACGTTGAACAGACAGACCAGGACAAGGATGGCATCGGCGATGCGTGTGACAACTGTAATTTTGTGGCGAATCCCGACCAGGTAACCGGGTTTGTCGTTGGCATGGTGTACATGGAATGTAGGTTGACTTTAACAGAGAGCAATTAGGATTCTACTCATGGGAGACGGGGAACGGTTGAGTGTGTGTGTGTGTGGGGGGGGGGGGTCTATATTCCCAGTTTCATCCCCCTAAAATCACAATTTCAGCTTTCACACGTTCTTATTGACTTCCATTCCCGAATCACGAAAACAAAATCTATCTGGTATTTTTCGGTTCCCAGATATTTAAAATAGTCCAATCCCGTGACTCTAAAATAACCGTTCCCCCACGGGGGTAACTGTACCCGAGCACGTCGTTGTAGTCGATCCATATGCTTTAAAGATGGAGACGTATAAAAGAAATTTTATGGAAGAACTTGTTCACTTTATAGAAGGACAGTGATAGCGACTTTGTTGGAGATGTCTGCGACACTGGTGACGACAAGTAAGTAAAACTACAAGACAAGAAAGTAATTATAATTCCCTATAGGCACTGTGAGTCCAGATGGTATTTGCCTAGGCACTCCGAGTCCAGATGGTAATTGCCTAGTCACTCGATCCGAGTCCAGATGGTATTTGCCTAGGCACTCCGAGTCCAGATGGTAATTGCCTAGTCACTCGATCCGAGTCCAGATGGTATTTGCCTAGGCACTCCGAGTCCAGATGGTATTTGCCTAGGCACTCGATCCGAGTCCAGATGGTATTTGCCTAGGCACTCCGAGTCCAGATGGTAATTGCCTAGTCACTCGATCCGAGTCCAGATGGTATTTGCCTAGGCACTCCGAGTCCAGATGGTAATTGCCTAGTGCTCACGCACACGCACACACACACACGCACGCACAGATACACACGCACATGCACACGCACGCACGAACACACACACACACACACACACACACACATAACACAAACAAACAAACAAACACACGCACACGCACAAACACAACACACACACACACACACACACGCGCGCGCCTACGCACGCACGCACACACGCACGCACACCTCGCCTGATAGTTACACGCACCTGAGTAACCTTTTTCCACATGATGGAGTAGAAGTTGGACGAGTCCTGGTAGGAGAAAATGAAGCCGACGTAGTCGTCGTCGATCGATGAATCGACGAAGAACGTGCCGTGGAAGTCGACGCCGCCGAATCGATCATAGCCGATGGCGATGCCCGGGTCGCTGTTCATCGTCTGCTGATTTCGGCACCCCTAAACATCGCGGCAAATGCGCTAAATAAAAACCTAAAATACCCCTAAACATCGCGCAAATACGCTAAATAAAAAACCCAAAATACCCTAAACACCACGGCAAATACGCTAAATAAAAAATCCACAATACCCTAAACATCGCGGCAAATACGCTAAATAAAAAACCCAAAATACCCTAAGCACCGCGGCAAATACGCCTAAACTAAAAACCACCCTAAATACCCTAAGCCAACCGGCGGGCAAATCGCTATAATAAAAAACCCTAATGACGCCTAAACATGCGGGCGGCAAATACGCTAAATAAAAAACCCAAAATACCCTAAACATCGCGGCAAATACGCTAAATAAAAAACCCTAAATACCCTAAACATCGCAGCAAATACGCTAAATAAAAAAACCAAAATACCCTAAACATCGCCCACATTGGTAACAGGTGCCGGCTTGCAATCTAGCCGCCGCGAATGCATGCACAACTGCTTGATTTTTACTCACACGCGAGCCGCGGCAAATACGGTTTGTGCACAAATACGGTTTTGTAAGGGGGGGGGGGGGGGGGGCGCGGCGCCAGCAATTACGCGTTTGTGCGCAGCCGCGGCGAATACGTTTTTGTGCGAGCGCGGCAAAATGACGGTGTGGTGCGGGAGACGCGGCAAATACGGTTTGTGCGGGACGCGGCAAATACGGTTTGTGCGAGCCGCGGCAAATACGGTTTGTGCGGGACGCGGCAAATACGGTTTGTGCGGGACGCGCAAATTACGGCTTTGTGGCGAAGCGCGCGCAATAAGCGTTATGTGCGCGGACGCCGGCAATACGCGTTTGTTGGCAGGACGCGGCAAATACGGTTTGTGCGAGCCGCGGCAAATACGGTTCTTTTGTGCGGGACGCGGCAAATTACGGTTTTTGCTTACGCGCAGCAGCGATACGGTTTGCTAACGCGCCGCCAGCGAATCACGGTTTGTAGGCGGGCCGCGAGCGAATCCGGTTTGATCGCCGCCGCGGCGATACGGTTATGTGCAGATGCCGCGAGGCAAATACGCGTATTTGTACGCGCAGCAGCGAATACGGTTTGTACGCGCCGCAGCGAATACGGTTTGTACGGGCCGCGGCGAATACGGTTTGTACGCGCCGCGGCGAATACGGTTTGTGGCGAGCCGCGAGGCAAATACGGTTTGTTACGCGCAGCAAGCGAATTCTAACGGCTTTTGTACAGCCGCAGGCGAATAACGGTTTGTACGACGCCCGCAGCGAATACGGTTATGTGCGGCCGCGCGTGCGATACGGTTTGTACGCGCAGCAGCGAATACGGTTTGTACGCGCCGCAGCGAATACGGTTTGTACGCGCCGCAGCGAATACGGTTTGTACGCGCAGCAGCGAATACGGTTTCGTACGCGTCCGCCAGCGAATGACAGCGTTTTGTACGCGCCGCAGCGAATACGGGTTTGTACGGCGCCGCAGCGAATCGGTTTGCGCGGGCCGCGCGAATCGGTCTTGTGCGAGGCTGCAAACGTCGACCACGGTGTGTCCGCAAAGCCTGCGAAGTTGAAATGTCCCAGCCAGCGCTTGTCGTGGGCAGGCGCTTCAGCAAGTGCTAACTGAGTGTGCCGAAAGTGGCGATCTCATCGAATCCCCTGCTCTTTACTCATGGGCTTTATTGTTGGGCGAGCAGTCCTGAGAATGTGCGAATTTTGTGACTCTGTGACCATTCTAATTTAGTTTGCAGCTACTTGGTTACACGATCAACAAGAACGCACGGTATATATTCTGAGTTAACCAGTTCAGGTCAACTTGGCTAGATGACGCAAAAGTACCTGTGCCCATATGCTCCTATCTCGGCATTGCTAACGTGATTAACGTGTGATTGAGAATAAATGCCAGGAAACAATTAAAGTCCCTCCTAACTAAACAATCTCAATGATGTAACGCAGTGCATTAGAGAAATGATTGCTAAACACGTTGACATGTTGAGCGCCTTGCCAAAATAGATGTCACCAACCAACTGCTTGCATACTTATCTAATAACATTCATATATGAATGTGTATGTGGCGTGTGGCATAGCCTAATATATGCCTACTAATACATGTATACTTTAATGTACGTAAAATCTTTATTGCCATTATAAAAGATGGCTTACTTGTTTAAGGATCACCCAGTGGGGTCAATTTGTGACTCGCCCTCTGGATCCAACACAACAGTTCTTGAAGGTGCGGAGTCTGTGGTGATGAATCTCCTTTTGTTGTCAGGACAGACAACTCATACGTGTCATGACGTCATCGCATCGTATCATTCTGGCTATGCGTCTACCAATGCCGTCTCCATCAGCGTCGCTTCCTGACCGCGGGTTTTTCCACTAGGGGGCAAGTTGTCTCTGCGATCGCGGATGCATCTTATCGTCATCATTGTCCGCACGGCATCTCCTGCAATAACAA